ATATATTTCGTAACTAGTTTTTTATTATACATTTATATAAAAAATAACAATTTACAACCCAACAAATAATATATATTTTGTTCATTCAAATAAAAAATAACAACATTATAGTTACAAAAATTAAAATATATATATATATATTTATATATATATATATATTTCTTTCACTAACTTTTACACAAGGGGCCAAAATACAATTCAAATCATTTTTTTGGGGCCAAAAGCCAATTCACACAAAAATTTGCGTTTGTGAACAGTAGAGACGCAAATTTGCGTCTGAAGGTGGAGAGAAAAAGGGAAAAACTCATTTTGAGTTTCCGTTTGCTGTTCGATTGGAGTGTTTCCACTGCATTTTTTAGGTTTTTGCGTTCGGTTGGAGTTGGTCTAAGAGCAACTCCAACCGTACCTCAAACCCAAACGCATCACCAAAAAATCCTCCAACCAGTACCGAAACGCAAACCCAAAATGAGTTTTGATCCGTTTCTCTCTCCTCCAAACTGCATATTTGCGTTTTTACTGTTCACATACGCAAATCTTTTTTTATTTGTGTTTTGGCCCTTCTATTTTCAAAAATGAAGTTTTAGTTTATTTATCAAAATTTATGGTTTGTCTATAAGTTGTTATTTTTCTATATAAAATTATAATATAAGTATGTAAAAATTCATTAATGAAATTTTTTATATAAAAATATAATATAAATGTATAAAAAATAATGAACAAAATATATATATATATATATATATATATATAAATATTTTGTGTAGGCATAAAGTTGATATTTTTTTAAAAATACTGAAAAATTATTTATGATAGAGCAAAATGTGTAATATATTAATATGTGATAAATAGTTTGACAAATAATATGACTATAAATAATTTTTTGTTTTTTTATGCTCTAAACCATATATGGTCTAGTGTCTAAATTTGCACTAATTCATATATGGTCTAAACCATATATGGTCTAGTGTGTAAATTTGCACTAATTCATATATTTTCAAAAGTAACAGTTTTGAATCGGTACATAGATGTATATGTATCTTCTTTAAGAAATTCAATTTATTACAATTCATTTTTAAAATAAATAAAAAAATAATATATTTAATGTAGAGTAAAATATAGAGATAAGGGCTGGAGATGAATGTTCAACTCTACTCTAGAGTAGAGTAAAGTCCGCGCTAGAGTAGAGATAAGGGCTGGAGATGGCCTTAGTTTATTACATAAAGTCCAAATTGAATTGAAAATAAAAGTGTGGTTTAATCTGTAAAATTGTAAAATATGCGGGTAGTATTTAAAAGTTGTAAAAGTTGATGTAAAAGAGAATATTTCGAGAATATTCTTTTGGGTTGAAGAATGAGTTTTTCGGTTGGAGATGAATTACTGCAAAATGAGATAGTTACTGCAAAATGAGTTTGAGTATGGAGTATTCGGTTGGAGATGGTCTAAATGTTAAGAACCTTGTGTTACAATATGGTCTTTCGAATTTGGGTCAACTTCTATTTAAACCGGCTTAAGGACATAACTATTTCTCTATTACAACAATATTAGTACAGAGCCCCGGGGTGCACAATTTTAAGGCTATTTATCCAGGCTTATAGTTATATACATGAATAACGAAAAATGTACGGGATATATATAGTACGTGACACGTGCGAAGCACGGGATATATTTATTTGGAGAATATTATATTATAAGATGCAATATTCAATAAAAGTTTATAATACGCAAGAAAATTGTATAATGTTCAATAAAAGTTTTATAATATTCAAGTGGAGTCTTAAAGTCTCTTGTACATAAAGGCTACTGACAAAATAATATTTTAATCAATGAGTTTCTTTTCCTTGTAGCTAAATTGTGAATGTGATTTGAGGAGTACAACAAATCGATATATAGCTGACTTGCTTTTTCATTGTAGTTTTTTTTTTATAATGAATTTAAAGATATTCTAAAATATAGCAAAAATTAATTTTTTTTATTACAATTAGGAATTTTACTAAATATAAACTCTCAATCTATGGTGTTAATCAACGTTTAAGTCTAAAAAATTAAGAATTTTTACCTCTTTTAATCAACGTTTAAGTCTAAAAAATAATAGAGTTATTATAAGTTTTTTTCTACATCTTTTAAAACATTAAATATGAGCATGTTAGGGCTAGCTTGTAAAATAACTAATATGTAATCTCACTAAAACATTTATACTAATAAAAACTTAATTTTAGCATATAAATTTATCCCTTGATATAAGAGAAAGCAACAGTTTTACTTATTGTTGTTCCCCATATAATATTTAATTATTATTTTATTATATAATAAATAAATATTGTTAAATAGTGTAGTAGAATTGTTATAAAATTATATGAATTTTTATTTTTTTTTACAATATGGATTTCATATTTTTTTATGATTTGATAATATAAACAAATCTATACTTACCTTTGACAAATAAAACAAATAAATACTTTAGTAAGTATTTAATGTATATACTAAATAGGAATATATTTGGTATAATCAAATACCAAATATAATCAAATAAGTCAAAATGTACATTTTTATTTGGTATTTGATTTTTTTATTATTAAAATCTTTTTATTATACTTACCTTTTTAAAATAATACAAAAAAATAAATCAATTAAATAAATAAAATATTATAATACCAAAATAGTAATGACATTTAATGCAGTTGACTTTTCTGGATAGTAAATGTAGTAAATAGAATCTCTTTTATATAAGTATAGATTGTATAATACGAAAATAGTATATAATAAATGCTGTTGACTTTTCTGGCTACTTAATTTGGTAAATGGGACTCCCTTTAATATAAGTATAGATAATCTAAACCGATAAAAAGGAATAAGGAGAAATTTAAAATAAGAAGGTATCCAATTAATACTAATTTGTTTGAAGATAAGAAGGAAAAAAATCGTAACAGAAACATTGAATAGTACAATCTGCGTCTGAATTACGGTGCATGTAATATCAAGTTCAATAGACTGGTAATTAAAAACGATTGTACGCGATTTTGTTGACTAAATTGATTTAATGGAATAGAATAAATCCGAAGATAATTAAGAAAATAATCGATCCAACTAGTGCCGATTTTTTGGGAATCTGTTTTGTCAGCATTTATTGGCAGCCGAATTTTTAGATAACAGAAAAACAAATAATTAAACATCTATACGGAATTAGTAAAGACAATTAATGTTGTTGACTTATTTTTATACTATATTTAGTAAATAGGATACCTTTTAATATAAGTATAGATATGTAGACTACCCAGCTTTTCGAACTCTGCAAACCTATCCAAACGCGCCCTTATCGGATTTACTTCTATTCCTATTCAGCTATTCCTATAGTTATCAAAGTATACCCATTCCTTTATAACTAGCACGTAACCCGTGCGATGCACGAGATATAAGTATTAATGAGTTATTTCCACAGAACTTGTCCGTTAAGTAGCTCGTGTGATTCACGGGAGGTATTAAATGAGTGGACCATTGGGCTTGTCAGTTCAGGCTTAAAAATAATAGAGTTTGATCATTTATCTTTTTACATCTTTTCATCAACGTCATTTTTTTTGTCAGAACATTAAACCTGAGTCTGGTAGCGCTAGCCCGTAAATTAATTAATATATTATCTCGCTCACATGTTTATATAATATAAATTTGATTTCATTATATATATTTATTCATTGATATGAGAAAAATTACAATTTTACGTAATCTTGTTCCGCGTATAATACTTATATTATTTCATTATAAAATTTATTGTAGTATAATGTCATTATTATTATTATAAGTTATAGATGTAATCTTCTTCTTTTTGTTTTATGTAATTAAAATATTTAATGTATGTTCATATTATTTATTAATGTAATTAATTTAAATTATGTAAATAAATTTAAAGTAAAATATTTTGTGCAAACATTTTACAAAATATACACAAATGTTTTTTTAGATTTTAATTTTTTTACAATAAATAACAGCTTTGAAATTCTATGCAATTATTAAAACCGATTAAATCTTCTTTATTAAAACCGATTAAATCTTTATTTATAGGCTTGACATTAAAACCAATTTTATGAGATTTTTTTAACTAAACCGATGTTATGAAATAAAACAAATCTATACTTACATTTGACTTTTTCAGCAAAAGTAAAAAAATCGGTTCTGGTTTTTATCCCATAACAAATCTTTAATGTCAAGCTATAAATACCAAAACAAATCTGTAATTAATGTCATTCTATTTCCAGTAAACATTAATTACCTTTGACTTTTTTTTTTATACTAAATTTAGTAAATGAGATACCTTTTAATATAAGTATAGATTCCATTAAAAAAGGGCATGTATAGAATTCCAAAAATATTGCAATAGAAAGTTATTTATTGAACAACTAATTCTTTAACGTTTTTCTTTTCATTTTCTTCTTCTTCTTCTTCTTCTTCTTCTTCAAACTTCTTCAAATCTTCAAACATGAACGTCTACAAAAAACACAAAAAAGAAAAGGTTAATCAATTGCTCATATACATACATGACAATTAAATTAACCAAAAAGTAACACAAATATATTATATACACCAACCAAACAAAAGAGGTAACAACAAAACCACAAAATAACTTCTTTAAAGTAACATAAAAACAACCATATGTAAACAATAAAATGTGAACAATATTTTTTTTCAGAAAAGTTGCATAATTATGCTTTTTCCCCCTCACTGTCTCCACATCATTTTCTTTATCAATTCTCTATCTTTTTTACGCAAAAAACCTAGTCCGATTCTTAAAAATTTAGAATCACCACAACCTATTTCTACTTATATCTACAAAAATTTTGCATAAACACAACAATATCATCAATCAGAAAAGCAAATCACAGCCTGGAGGTGTTTACTTGGAGACAATTACGTACGAACAAATTGATCACACAGCATACCTCTGTATTTCATGATTCGCACCAACAAATTGATCACACAGCATATCTTTGGAGATGGGCTTGAGCACAGTATTAGCGAATCGTCTCTTTTCGGTAGCAACGAATGGTGTCGGCATTGACGTGGGTCTGTCGGCGGTACCCGCGACTCACAAAGATAGCCGCCGTGTGTTGCTCGATTTCCAAAACCTCTCTTAAGGTTTATCCCATATAAAAAATGAGATATTTTGAGAATTTTTGGGGTGGTTCTCTCGTTTAGTAAAAACCAAAAAGAGAGATGAAGACGGAGAGTGGTTTATCGTGCGAAAAGAGAGAGAAAAAAAAAGTGAGAGGATGAGGATGGAGTTAAATAAGAATAAAAAAAACATAAATACAAAATAAGAAAATAATAACACTCCTTGTATAATTATAAGGGTAACGCGTACAACTGATCCCCAGACCTCAATCTGTTGAGAATATATTGAGTATGTTGTTGTTGTTATTATCATTTGGGGTAGAAATTGAAATCAAAAAAACAGATTTGACTAAATAATAAAACGTTGCTTAAATGTAAAGATTGGTTGAGAAAAGCTAAGCAGCGTCTTTATTCATTTAAACCTATAGGCCTTAACTTAACAGATTTGGGCTACTAAAAAACAATTGAGATAATGCTAGGCTACGATTCTTGGTAAATAAATTTCCTTAATAATAAGATAATATTTTTATTGCCAAACATAATTTTTTCTTTCCGCTTGAACGATAAAACACAAAGACCGAATGCTTTTAATTTTTCAAAAAAGGGGGGATATGAGGACTGCTGGATGGCCATCCATGCCCTCCACATGCTACCGCTGCCGATCTCGTTCCCCGGCTTATCTCTGTTGTCATCGCAGTCGTCCTCCTCCTCTCTGCCATCGCTGCTCCAGATTTCTCCAACAGCCTTCGCCTTGCTTTTCACTGGGATCTCGGCCGCATTGATGTTGTTTCGATCGGAAACTTTCATCATCGGATTCATTGTGGTGCCACTGAAGATAACGTTGGTGATGTTGTTTTACGTTGCCGGATTCGTGTTCGTTTCGCCGAAAATTGGCTGCACAATTCTCTAGCGGCCTCCTCATTCCAGTAACCTTGCCCCAGGTAAATAGATAACAAAGCAAAATAATTAAAATAGAACAACAATTGCTCTTTATTTTCTTGATATCACACATGCTAGATGTTTGATGAAATGCGTGTGTGTGTTTTTTCAGTTTTGTTTTCCTTTTGCATATGGAACAACAATTTTCCTATCTATTTGTTGTTCAAACAAGGAAGAATAACGCAACAAAAACTGCCTGAGAGTGACGATGAATCTTCGGGTCCATTGCCGTCAAATTATCGAAATTTGTTGTTAGTTCATTCCATTTAAGTAGCGTATGGATTTCTGTAGTAGGTTTAATGATTTGTGTTGGCATTAATTTCCAGACTTTTCAAATTGTTTTTATTCCTCTTAGTGCTATTTGGTTTAATTTATGGGACATTGTAGACAAACTATACGGTGGGTTCCTTATTTGGATATGATATGGCTGGAAAACTTTGAGTATTTTTTATGTCTATCAAGTATCAATCGTACCAGGTATCCTTTTATTATTTTTTGCATTGTATATTTTTTGTATTTTTTTGGGTACATATGCAAAATCTGAATTATTTTTTTTATTCTCGTTTGGATGTGTGGTGACATGAAGTTTTAGACTTGTTAAATGACTGTTGTTAGTTTTAGTACTATTTAGTTTATTTTGTGGAACATAGATGACAAACAAATCGGTTGTTTTTTTTTTTCGATGGAATATTTGTAGTATTTTTAATGTTTACACATGACTATCAAGTTCTCTTTTTGCCAAGTTTTTTATGGTATAATTTTTGGTATTTTTGTTGTTATATATGCATAAGATATTTTTTCATGTCTAATTATTTAATTAGAGATTAGGTATTCTTTCTGTAGTTGACATTTCCGACTATTTTTGTATACTTTCAGTAATTGTTAGGTTTATTTTATGACTTATTATTTTTGTTTCAACGAACTTTATACAATAAAAAAAAATCTTAGAAACACAATACTTAATAATGAGATATTGTGTGAAATCTAGTGGTGTTACACGGCGGAAATCTGGTGCTCCGATGCTCGGCTAGTGGTGTTAGGCGTGCTCGGGAGGTGCTAGAGTGGGTGCGTGTTTGGTTGTCCTTTCGGTTGAGGCGGGTCGTTTTGGAGTGTGATTTGTGTTCGGGCTCGACTTCTTGTATAGGCCTTGTGGCAGTTTCGGGAGCCGTCCCTGGACTTGGATTATCCTCTGATATTGACTGTTCTCCGCTGGTTCGAGCTGCCTGACTTGCTGTGGAAGGGCTTATTATTATAGCTGTGTTTTCCTTTTCTGGTTTTGTTGTAGATTGGTTTGTTGTTCTAGTTTAGTGTGTTAGTATCTGTGTTTGTGTTTGTCGTTGTGTTTTAGGTCTGGGCAGTTGTCCTCTGTGCACCTGAGTGTCATTTTCATTACTCTGTGGGGGTCCGACACTCGGGAATTACCCTGTTGGGGTCTTGTGTTGTTTTTTTGTCGTTGTTTTGTGTGTTTGTTTTTAGTGTGTTGCCGAGTATTCTAGCATTGCTAGTTTTCGGATCTAGGCGGTCTTCGGACCTGTCCTCCCAGTTTTCTCAGTCGTCGGTTGTATTATTCAGCTAGTGGCTGTACCTTTGCACATTTGTGCGTTTATATATAAATCCTCTATCGCTTCGACCAAAAAAAAATATAATTAATATAACATTTTAACTATTTAATCATTTGTATAACTTGATTTAACTCATTATCAAACTTGCCAAATTTTTTTTTAAATTAAAAAAAAAATTGGAAGATTTTTATTTGTAAAATAATAAAAAATAACTTTACTTTAAAGTCTGGATTATTTCTATTATTTTTTGTACGTTAACAATCATATATTTTGGATTATTGATTTAAAAAAACAAATCAAAACCGTAAGGTTTAATAATATTCCTTAAATAAAAAATATTGTATAAAGAAAAGTATTTAATATTATATATTTTTCATTGATTGTATTTATTTTATTTTCATAATAGACGAGATGTAAAAAATATAAATAATTATATTTACAATAAAGTCTAAAAATGTTTAAAATATGAACTCTTCCGTGCATCGCACAGGATATACACTAGTTTTGAATGAACCATCCAGTTTGATTATATGCAAATATATTAATAATATTTCTATAAAAAAAATAATACCCAAATAGGTTAGGCAACACGCAACGCTATTTATGCTATGCAGTATAAATGCCAAAACGCGACGCATTACGCTATATGCGTTTTAAAACACTGATATGAACTTAATATGCATGAGGTATGAATTGCATATGCAATCCTTATGAGTTAAATAAGTATGCACTGTTTATGAATTAAATATGCACCTGTTATAAACTAAATGTACATTATTAATGAACTAATTATGCAGTGAAAATATGCAATAAAATGTGCATTTTGTATAATTAATTTAAATATAATAATTATTATTTTTATTACATAATTAATTTAAATTTCAATTGATTAATATAAGTCATTCATCTACATAAATAAATAGCTATAATTGGATCTCACATGAACTAAATATGCAATTTTAATGATTTAAATTTGCATTTCGTATGAACTAAATATTCATAATGAATGAACGAAATATGCATGTACATATTTAATTTAAATATAACAAATATGCATTGTGAATGAACTAAATATGAATTTAATGTGCATTATCTATAACTAAATATGCACCTGTTATGAACTAAATAAGCATAATGAATGAACTAAATATGTATCATGTATATATTTAATTTAAATATAACAAATATGCACAATGGATAAAATAAATATGCATTTCATATGAATTACGCATGCATCATGAATAAACTAAATATGTATCATGTTATATTTAATCTAAATATAATTAGTATGCATTATGTATGGACTAAATATGCACTTGTTATGAACTAAACATGCATCATGAATGAATTAAATATGTATTATGTATATATTTAGTTTTGATATAACAAAAATGCACGATGGACGAGCTAATATGCATCATGTACATATTTAATTTAAATATAACAACTATGCATTATGGATGAACTAAATACGCATTTCGTTTGAACTAAATATGCATTATAAATGAACTAAATATGCATCATGTATATATCTATATATCTATATATATATATATATATATGTTGCTCTAAATTATATATATATATATATATATATATATATATATATATATATAATTTGGAGCAACATCATTTAATTTTATTGTCATGCATTTAATTATATTATCCCGCCTAAAATTTTAGCATTTAATTTTATTCATTTAAATACCGCCAAAAACAATTACCATGTCTCTTATTTAATTATATTTATACTGCATTTAATTATATTTCCACTTATGAGTCATGAGTTTTGCTGTAATTACAATTTCTCTTATTTTCTCATTTTTTTTTCCCGAAACGATAGAGATTGTATAACTAAAGCTCGAAAGAGGACAATGTCCAAGTACAAATATTACAAAAGACACAGAAATAACAATTAAACTGAGAGGCACACACAAGGTGGCCTAGAGCCTCAAGACAGAGAAATAGAACAGAAAATAAGAAAACGAAACGTAGCACCCACCACTGCCACAAAGCCTAGTAAGGCACTAAATTCCCCAATGTTCAACTAATAACAACACAAGATACAACAAAACCAGAAATAAAAGGACAAAAGGCCTAACATCAAAGACATTTTAATGCAAAGACCCTGCAACTTTTGAGAACTCTATCCAATCAGATTGAGCTGCTATGACAAGACTGTGCACTGGGATGAAAGATTTTTGAAAGATCCAAAGGTTCCTTGACTTCCAGAGCCACCAAAGCAGATATGTAGACAGTTGTATTCTGGCTTCAGCAACATCTGAATGGTCAAGTGAGCAAACCTGGTGCCACCATCCATTGAATGAATCAGTTCTGCAAGTCTGTGCATCCCATTTCACTGGGGATAGGTCCCAGAGTTTTGAGCTCTGAAGCAAGAGAAAATTAAGTGTTGAATAGTTTCAGAAGATGCTCCACATAGAGAACATGTTGTATCCAGCTCCAGACCTTTTTTCAACAAGTTGACAACCACAGGTAAGGTGTCTGAGATGCATTTCCAAAGGAAATGTTTGATTTTGTTCATGATCTGCAGGTTCCAGCATCTGTGCAGAGTACCTTTCCTGTTGTGGGGAGAAGAGCTACACTCAGGGATGTCAAGATATAGAAGCTTCTGTGTGGAAAGGTGTGCATAGGTGTAGGAGACTGAGAATAGACACTTCTGATGAAGTCCCCAGTGCATCCTATCCTCTTTGTCCTGCTTAAGAGTTGTGACGCTAAGAATAGCTGTGCTATCTTGCTCTAAGAAGACCTGCCTGATGAGTCACTCATTCCACTCTCTGCCATTTGGTAACATCAGGTCTTTAACCCAAATTAAATGATCTCTGGCCAATGGCATAAGTGTAGGTGAAGGTGCAGGCAGATTTGGAACCCAGTTTAAATCAGCAATTTTGGTATTCATGCCATTTCTGATTTCAATTTTAAGCCACTGTGAAAAAACAAACATCATTTCCATCCAAGTATTCCACATCCAAGAGCCACTTTGGGTTTTAACTACATGAATGAGGGAGTTGTTTGGTAAATACCTGTCATTGAGGATTTTGCTGACAAGAAGTTGTGGATTGGTAGCAATCCTCCAAAGTTGTTTGCAGATAAGTGCCTGATTGTATAATTTGCACATAATCAGTAAATTGTTATAGGCCCAGTTTTAAGTTTGTTATTAGATGTTATTTTTGTGAGATCCGCGTGAGGGTATTACATGTGGTTTGTCAAACTCAGTTGAGATTATGGAAAAACATAATTAATTCTTTTTCTATCTCACCAATTCTTCTATCTCCCCCACTTATATTCTTCTTCCTCAATTCATCTTCATATCAATTTACAGAAAGTCAGAAATCATCAAAATAGAATACAAAAAGTTCCATAAAATTCCATACTATTACCGTGCTTAACATTTACATGCATTGTTCATATATGTAATCAAAGTAGACTTGTAAGCAGGGATGTAGTTTCATTAGGACCAGTGCTGGTAAAGGAAAAACAAAGGCTCTTGTATTTGCCCACATTACTTGAATAAAAAATATTAATTATGAGCCCAATAAATAAAGATAAGATGAATATATATATATATATATATATATATATAATAATAATAATAATAATAATAATAAGAATTACTATTTACCATAAATAGTAACTAGAAATTTTAGGACAACATTAATTGCTTACTATTTTTGGATTTTTTTTTTCTTTTTTCTTTAACATTAATCCTTATCATCATTTGACTTAGGCGGCCTAAAAAAGTGGAATTTAATTTGAAAAATTCAAATCAAATCGTATCCTAAAAATTTGTATTTTTGTTAAATCCCTCATAATACAATCTCATATCAATACCATTTTTGAATTTATTTTCTTTAAACATACAACAGAAACAGTATCCACGTACACAATTTATGTCTTCCTAAATTTAAGTAATTTGTTGGTCCCCAAATTAGTGAAGATTCCTTGCATGAAGGATTTATACAATTTTGAAAAAATTGGTAACTTGGTATAAACCCATTACATACGATATTGGTTTTGGAATTTGAATTTTCAAATTTCTTCCATATACATACGCAACTATTCACTCCCTAAAATTAATTAATTTGTTGAATCAAATATGATATTGTGGTATTGGTTTTGGAATTTGAATTTTCAAATTTCTTCCATATACATACACAACTATTCACTCCCCAAAATTAATTAATTTGTTGAATCAAATACGATATTGTGGTCCGCCAAAGTCAGTGGAGATATTTTGCATGAAGACTTTTTACAATTTAAAAATATTAGGACTCTTGGTATAAACATTTTGGATAGCCTTTTTTCACAAAATAAATTGAGATGGATTAGGAATTTCAAATCAATTCAAATTCATCTCTGATTACAAGTTAAAATTTTCCAAATTTTATTTTAAGAATAAAATTTATGGCTTCAAACTCGAGATAATGAGTTTGTAAATAGATAAATATTTTTTTTTTTCTAAAATATTTATTAAAAAATTATAATGACAATAAATTTTATGATAAAATAATAAATTAATTATTATACCAGAATATGTAAAACTGTTATTTTTTATATTAAAGAATAAATATGTATACCCAAATCAAATTTATATTGGTATCAACGTTTTAGCGGGATAATATATTAATTAATTTACATACTAGAGCTAATAATTAATTTACATACTAGAGCTAATAGGTTGAGGTTTAACGTTATGACTAAAAAAAATCATGATGATCAAAAGAGGTGTAAAATAGATGATCTAACTCTATTTTTTAAACCTAATGGACAGGCATCTGGAAACTCAGACCCGTGCATCACACGGGCTACGTACTAGTAGTTATTTAAAACTCGTTTTGAAGACTGAACAAATTCTTTACACCGCTTGATTATTGTTGGGTTCGCTATACCGCACGGGGTGAAACGCAGCGGAAATTAAACAAAATAAATATGCATTTATCGAATAAATACTAACCCCGTCGGCTCACGTAGCGATTATAACGATCGGCATCTTATAAAATCACGTAAAAGTACGAATTTTGATTTGTAGAGTATTTCGAAAATTACCTTTTAATTTTCTTCAAATAGAAACGATGATGAGGGAATCAGTTCCCGGGTATGTGGCTATCACCGTCTCGTTCGTCGCGCTGTAGGGATCCACGTGTCTCCCCTCTAAGCAAGTCCACCTTTGGATTCCAACACCGAGATAACCTTCTTCGCTAGTAGAATTTATCTCGTACTTTGATTGGTATTTGGAATCGAATAAAAGAGAGGAGAGATTTTTTTTTTCTTTTTTTTTTTAAATCTTTAATCTAAAGATAATGACAAAAGGATTAGGAAACTAATTTTCAATACTTGGTCAAATCCTTATCTTCCCTTTTGTTATCTCCCGTAGAATAAAAATATCTCCTCTCTATTGTAGGCTTTTAATTATTAATCATATTAATATTTGGATTTGAATTTTAAAGTCCAACTTTAAAATCCAACTATTAACTTAGTAATTCTAATAATTACTCAATTAATATCCAAAACCCATTTAATCAATCCAATTGATTAATTTGTACTATAACTTTAATTGACATCTAATCAAAATTAAATTTAATTAAATAATAAAATTATTTAATTAAGTCTTGTCAATTAATCCAACTATTGGAAATACCAATTTTAAAATGTCATCATCCAAAATATGGTGTGACCCTTTTAGGTTCACGATTAACACTAGTAGTGGGTTTACAACTCGATTGTTATTTAAATTAATCTAATCAATTTATATTCTTGAAATTAACTCCTTAATTTCAAGAACCCACAAGTCATGGTAACACCTAGCAAATAGCATGATTATCTCTTGTTAAGTGAAATAGCGAGTAAACCTTTTCAATTGCAAGTGCATACATGTAAAATCTTTTCGACAACTAATTTCCCGATTAAATCTTGGGCATGGATTTATAAGTCGAAACCCAATTGATTTAATAACTATGATTCCATTTTCAAGTTTAGTGATTCCTTTATGAATCCATATTCATCCCGCCTTGGCCAAGGTCTTTGAATCACAAACTATGAAAAGCATAGGAAATTCACTTATCCATATAAGTGTCGAATTCTATGTTGGCCACAGACAAACCTCCATACATATTAATACATTACCCAAAATATCCCTTTTATGATTGTCTAGCAATCAAAGGATAAATCAAAGTAAAGTACAACATGCACAAGATTACTATCGTGCCTCAAGTCAGAAAATTAGTCATATACTATTGCAACATGATTATTCTTATTCGACAGTTAAAAACTTCCAGCTAAGAATTCTCATCAGGCCATGTTCAGTGAACTTGTTCCCCAACAAGCACCCGCATATATGCATTTGCGTCCACACGCTAATGTTGATGGAATGCAACATCCTCGTCCGACGAGCATGCATCATATGCACAAGTCTTACCGGGTATTCAATGTCCTGTCTCGAAATAGCCATCAACTCAGAACTTATTTAAGATCACAGCTTTAAAGACATGTTCCATGATTTCCATCAAATGCGCAACCATGTCTCATAGCTAATAATGATCTAAGGACTTTATCATATGTGCAAATATAAAATAAATGCAATAACATAAGATAAGGAAATGCCTCAAAATAATATAAATTCCAATAAATTGTCTTTACAAGTAGAAAAATATCCAATCAGATTGGAACGACGTGTATTCTATTCTAACAATTATAAGTTAAAATTCTCACCCAGAAAGTGCGAAAGTTGAAAATGAGAAGGCGTTCATATAACCCTTCGCACTTTCTATGATGAATATACATTTGATATGTGACAGTTAATCGAATCATTCAAATAACATTCCCATTTTTCGGGGTGAAAAATTAGATTATTAGTGGGCATGGTGAAAAACTTAATATATCTTCAGGTNATTGCAGAGACTCACACGGACAAAGTACAAAAAAAAAAGATGGGGAAAAAGGGAGAAGAGAAGAAAGATTTAAAGCGTTTGTTAGTTTTCGATCCAACTGTTCGAGAACACTACTTGCAAAATAACGAAATCCCTTTCTATATATTTTGGTGGAGGTAAAAATTACTATTCTTTATTATTTTAGGTATTGGTATGTATATTCTCTTTATGTAGAAATTGTAAATTCAAGCCCTTTGTAGGTATTTAAAGCACTTTAAAGTGTGATATGTCAAAATAGAGAATTTCATTAATTGTATATTTACAATATTATTTTTGAATATCAGATATAGAGAGATATTTTTAGAAAAAAAAGCTCCGTCAACAAAGTAGTTGGGAAAATGTTGCAATAGGAGATACATTGAATCAAATAGATTTGAGGGAAATTTTGATATCATTGGGCAAAAAAAAAGTATGATCTTAAGTTTAATGATGATCGAGAAAACAAAACCTTATTAAAAATTGATAATGATGTTATTATATAGCAATATGTAGTTTTGTATTTGTACTTGTTGTTATAAGATGTTATATTTTTCGTTTAAGCCCCCTCATTATATTTTCTAGATCCCCACCTGCTTGTCAATTTTTTTTTATTTTTTTTCCAACAAAAATTAAACTATTATATAACTCAAACAACGAACAAGCGAATAACCAACAGGTTATGATACAACGGGGGAAACGTTATCTTGGGTAGTTGAAATTCACTCTTCAAGACGAAAATAGATGGGAAATGAGTCCTTTAAGCCTAGGATCAAAGCATCACGTTAGATTGAGTGAGAATCTGCCTAAAAAACTAAAAGTTGTACAATAATTTAGTGGATTCAATAAGATGACAAACCAAATGAAGCGTACAAGGATTATATGCACCCCTAGGTCTCCAAGAGTTCTTAGTCAACTTTACATGACACTAAGTAGCGCTTTAAAAACAATCATCAAACAAACACATGCTAAGTTGTTGTCACTAGGAATGTATAAGGCCAGCCTTCTTGTACATCTCAACAGAATCGACAAGAGTCTCTGTCAATGGCCTATACTTCCAGCCAAGCCCCTGCAATTTCTCTGAACTCAGTTTCAGCAAGTTTTTACCCTCTTTGAAGCTGCCATAGGAGAAAATAATAAAATTAATAAACAAGTCAGCTGGACACTAATCAAGCTCTGGGAAGAATGAATACCTCTTGGGATAATTGTAGTTTGGATAGAGTTGCTTGAGAGTTCCCACCAGCTCTTGATTTTTGATTGTGTGGGCTGTGCATATATACCTACCTTTGGCTTCACGGTTTTCGTACACCAACTTCAAAGCTTCAGCTACGTCACGTACGTCTACTATGTTAATCATCTTGTTTTCCACCTCCTCAAATCCTTCTGAAAGTTAACAATAGTTTTATTATGTATTCATACAACTTAATGAAAGACCCCACTATCCAATCCACGCTCCACACTAATACACTAGAATGTCGCGATTATAAAATTCTGCAATAAAAGCAAATTTGATAAATAAAAGCTCTCAATATTTAACATTTAAGGGCCTCTCCTTCAAGGTGTGTGCAAAACTGAGAGATTTTGTCAGACTAACAATTAAGTGAGGAAATAATTGAGTACCTCTCAACAGCTTTATGAGAATCAAAGTGCTGGCATTCGGAGTATGCTGCAGCATAGGCCCCCAGACTGCTGTCGGGCACACAGTAACAAGATCAAGCTCGTTGTTCTTTGCAAATTCCAAAGCCTCCGCCTCAGCTACTGTTTTCGAATAAAAATACCAATTCTGCGCTTATAATAACAGCATAAAAAACAAGTTTAGATCAGTTGGAAAACTTCCAGAATGAAATGTTAAAATTAACAATGATTACAGACAATTTCAAAAATTATCCCCAAGTTTTTGGAAAAAAAAAAAAAGAACGGATAAATTTTGAAACAAAAAAATGTAAAAAGGATTTCGAAACTTTTTCCTAGTGAAAGAAAATAAAATCTCTGTTAGAAGGAACAAACAAATGTAAATTCACTTTGGGTTTATTTTATGATTACCCCACACCTCATGGTTTCTTATTTAAAGGGTCACCTAAAGGCTAAAGCCATAGAGATGGAAATGGAATAAAATTGTACGCGTTTCATTTCTAAAATTTGATTGCCCGGGCAATTACTTTAGTTGTCCTGCAGTATTCACTATCCGACCAGCAAGTCTCGTCAATGACTTGACCCTTGACCCAGTTAGGATTCATGATTAAAGCAGCAGCTGATGATACAACGACCACACGATCCACTTTTGCTTGGAAGCATGCTTTGAGGATATTACGAGTGCCCTCTACTGCTGGTGCAACTACTTCCACCTGCATATATACAGCATCACGACTTAACCATACACAGAACAAACTATGGTGAATCGAGGGTGAATGTAGCACAGAACTAGAGTTCGATGGCCATTGGTAAATTCCAAATCGTTTTTTTTCTATACTGTGAGTACCTAGAATCTCAGTGGTGATTATTGTAATTGCTCCTATTTACTTCTATTATGTAGTATAAAAG